GTCCCATCTAATTCCTTGATTTTGACAACAGGGACTTTTTCGATGTTATCCAATGCAATGCATGATTACAATATAAAAAGAAATTTCTGGGCCTCCATTTTTCATCAGATTGTGGCCCAAAAACAGTTTATGAGTTATTACTTGACATATATTTCCACACCTGGGTGTCTAAATAGTAAAGCATTCACATTAATATTAATAGTGATAAAAATATTGTTGTTGTGTTAAAATCCTTAAAGAAATGCTGGAATTTTTATAAATTATATTAGATAATGGTATCTTGGATTTTAAAAATGATATCCAGTGGGGGAGTAGGAGACGCTATGGAAGAAACAAGGTTGGACATAAATTGGTAATTACTGAAGGTAGGTGATGGGTACACAGTAATTCATTACATTACTGTTTTTACCTTTTTATGTGTTTGATTGTTTTCTATATAAAAGGAAGAAAAAAGAAAATTGAAAAAGAATCACTCTACTGTGTCTACTGTGATCATTTTAGCTACATATACTCTTAGGGGCATATATACATCTTAATTAAATAATTCAGCTATTTAGAATGAGCTTGATTTTGCATATAAGATCAGAAAAGTGACAGTACAATATATCTTTATTTTTCAAGGGTATTCAGGGAACTAGTATCTGATATTGATGGCAAAACACACTTTGGTAGATCTTCTCTCATTCTGTTTGTACAAATGTAAATGGAGTTTTTAAACTTTTGTACATAGATCAGCTAGACCTTATGATTTCTGAACTATATAGACTGCAAATAGCTGATTGCTAACTACTGACGCTATCACCCATGGTTCAACACAATTGAAAATCAATGCTCTTTCACAAATTTCTTCACACTAAAACACATTTAAACATTATTTCATACTATGTAGGCAAAGAACATGCAGATTTAAAGTATCTTGTAATATATTTGTCTTCTTGGAAAGCAATAAAATATCAATTTGGAAAAACTAATACCAACTAAAAAATAATATCTTTTCTTCAGAATAGTGGAAAAAATATTAGAGTTAGAGCCAGTTAACCAGGAATCGAGTTCTGACTATATTATACATTAGCTGTGTAGAGTTGTGAAAAATATCAGCTCTTACGAAGATGAATTTCACATTCAGCCTGAAAGTAATAATTGTGAATTTACTACATACTTAGTAGTAGTAAGTAGTAGTATTACAAAAATTATTCCAGGTTGTTTGTATGGAACAATTCGAATCCCGTAACACCATGTGATGTAAGCAGTGCTATTATTATCATCCCTATTATATATTTAGAAAGAGATCTGAGCTATTAACTTCAAACCATTACGAAACCTCCCCCTCACAATACCTCCCCCATAGGGTTACCAGGAGCACAAATGCTCTATATGCTATAAAATAAACACAAAATATTAGTTTTCTCTTCCTGGAAAAGACAGTAAATACCTCTAGGTATCACAGATTTTACCACGTATAAACACACATGGTACCAAAATCTCAAAGCGCAATAGAAACGTTATGTCAATAACTCTTGAACTTCAGTGTACACTGATTCACTTTGATATTTAAAATGCAGATTCCCCCCAATTTCTTTTCTTTTAAATTCATTTCATGTACAGTAGAAATCAGGAATATTTTAATAATTGTCTGCAAGACATTTTGATGCAATTCACTTATGGAAATTCTTAAGAAATAATATTTAAACTTAGAGCTTTATAAATGTTATAGGCTTAACTCTGTCTCTATCAAATTTTTTTAAAGCTATAATGCCCAGCACCTCAGATTGAGGCTGTATTTGGCTACAAGGCCATTAAAGAGATGATTAAAGTTACAGTGGGTTTGGTGGGTTCCTTACTCTATGACTAGTGTCCTTTCGAAAAGAGGAGATGAGGACACAGGTCACTCAAGTCAACCACGAGAGGGCACAGTAGGAAGGCAGTCATCTGCCAAATGTCCCCAGAGGCAGCCTCTGCTCTAGACCCCAAGTGCACGGTCTTTCACAAGTATCCAGTTATTCAATATTTTATATTTCATTTTATATTTCTGGTTAACTAACAACTTTATAATGTGAGTTTCAAAGGATGTTATTTTTGATTTAATGTCAAATAAACCTAAGAACTGCCGAGTATCTGTCCCTCTATAGTTATCACAGCACAGTGTACATGAGACAGAGTAAGTACTCATCCAGAAGGATGTGGGGAAGTCCTGCTGCCATCTTCAACCTAATAACCTGCTCTTGTATCTGCTCAAAACTACAAGGGAAGGGATTTCCTTTTGCTCATCATCTTTATAAGCTTACCAATCTCTTCTTGGCATTGTTTCCTGTACTATCATGTTTGCTGTATCAAATTTGAATCCAGTTTTTTTTTTTCTTTCTGACATAGGGTTTCACTATGTAGTACAGGCTGACCTTGAACTCATTTTGTAGCGCAGGCTGGCCCTGGAACTCAAGAGACCCTTCTGCCTCAGTCTCCTAAGTGCTGGGGTTACAGATGTGCACCACCATGCTTGATTCCTAAATCTACATTTTCCAACTCTGGTTTTTAAAACTGGAGTAGTGATTCTTGCTAAAATATACTCAGTCAATTAGAAATTTTTATCCTTATGGTCTGATTTCTATATCAAAATAACTATTTTAGATACTTCATTGGAAAAAAATCACTAGAAAAGTGATAGAATGATAAAGAAATCATCTAAGCAACTGCTGTATTTCTATCCATGTCTATGTAGGTCTTGTTTTTATTCTAGACTGATAAGCCAGGCAAAACAAAAACCACACATATTTTGAGTGACTTTTTGCTTGAAATTTGTCTTAGACTTACTATTATACTAGTTGCTATTGCTTTAACAACAATAAAATATGATTGGAAGTCATTTTTGTAGCTTAGAATTAATAATGAAGAATATTAGTACTTTTTCTTAATTAAATGAACAAGGTCTTTAAAATACAGAAAGCACTGTTGGCAAATAAAAGAATTAGCAACAATTTAAATAATCTCCCCCAAATGATCTTTTAAATATCTTAGTTTTGTATAAATTTTATTTAAATATAATTTTTATTTTAAAAATGTACAGAATTATAAAATGAGTAACACCATCATGCAAATAAGTGTGGGGAAAAATCATCATTATTCCAACACTACCTACAATTTGCATCCTTCTTGTTTATCAAATGAAATGAAGTTTATCCAATGTGTCATGAAAAGTATTTGCAAAATACCTGCTTGTAAAGAATGACTGTCCTGTGTGCCAAAACATGGTAGGTGCTGATGGATCTTCTTTTACTCAATATAGTAAGAGGTAAATATTTCCTGCATTTCACAGATGCGTCTGGATCTGAAACACCTCCCTGCATAACTAAACTCCAGACCTATTCTATGCTTATATTACCTCCAGTAAGTCTTTTTCTCTTATCATTTTTCCAAAACAGTAAATCTTTTGGGTTAAAAAAATTGCATTCTGGCTTCTTAAGGTCTTTATCTTTTCTTCAATAAGCTTCTGAAGCTCATCTGCTTTTCAAATTGCTCTCCTCCACTGAACACATAAAGTTGACCAGATGCCTTTACACATATGGTTAACGCATATGAAAGTTCTGCACTATAAATTTCTCAGTGCTAGTAGTCTGCATTTTCACAGAATTGTCTTCAGATACCAAGAAATCAACAATGTTATGACTGAAATGTAATCACTTGAACTTTTGCAAAAGGTTCTGTTTATATGATTGATTTTAGTCTTTTTGATTCCATACAAAAAAATCTAGACAATTAACAAGTGGTTTCTCTTTTCAATGTAAGTTCCTAGAATTCTTAGAAATTATCTGAAAGTTTCATTTGAAGAAAGCTGAGTGATGGAATTGAGCTTTATGAATTGTTTTCTTTGAAAAAATAAAGTTTTAATATTTAGTTACATGAACCCAGTTAAATTTCCTAGACTGAGCCTGCTGTGGTGGGGATCACCTGTAATTCCAGCACTCAATCGGCTGAGGCAGGAGGATCACCATAAGTTGAAGTTCACTCTTGGCTACATAACAAGTTCAAGGTCAGCCTGGTGAGACCCTGCTTCAAAAGTACAAAACCAAACCAAACCAAATTATTGGGTTGGCTATGAATGCCTTTCAAGCTGAACACTTTCTCACTTCTATGCAGAATTATAATTAAAGAAATGATTTTTGTTGAGATTGAAATGAGAATAAATAGTAAGGATAATGCATTTCTAAATTTAACTTTTAAGATTTTTCACATAAATTTGAATTTCTGACTGGAAGTAAGGCTTTACTCTTGCACAAACTGAGACACTGTTAAAGACAGCAAAGTCAGGGAATTTGGAACACATATTTGGGGAGCTGAGAGGATTAAATGAGATAATACCCATGATAGCTTTAGTACTTCATAAGGACCAGAACCTGAAAGATAGGTGCCTATCAGATAGAAGAACTGAGACCAGAAAAACAAACTCTGACCACACACACGTGAATGGGTTTACCAAGTGTAAGAAAACAAGTTGATTTTAAGTGCAGACTAATCAAAGAATGTCCTCCAATACTATCCTGTTTTAGGCACACAAAAGACAGAAAATCATTTTTGCATCCTCAATTCTAGGGACTTTTCTAATTTTTCCTCTATGAATAGCTTTATTCTAGGAAAGGCATATCCTTAATTATTGCACTTTCATTATTTATTCTAAAAACATTTCCTTAAAATTATTCCAGGGTTTGACAGTTTAATACAATGCAAGCACAAACCACATCACTTTACCAAACTCTCTCCACGGCCCGAGGTCCCTCTCCCTCTTCAGTAGCTAGTCAGTCAACTGCTGCTTTCAGCAGTAGAGGAGTTGAAAGTTAACCAAGTTGCTCCTAGCCAGATCTGAGAATAGAAATCCTTGCCAATATTTGTCTTCATGGGTATTTTTACTTTATTTTTTATATGCCTGAAACTCACATGAACATAGGGTAGAAAAGGCAGGGCTCAGGCCACAGTGGCTCCGTCCTCCAATTACACCTGTCAGACTTTACCTGTTTGCAAGACCACACTGCTCTCTTCTCCATCCAAAGAAACAATCCTGAAGTGATAGGTGGTTCCAGCCTGTAAATCTTTAGCATTACATCCATAGGTGGTGTTGTCTATCTGAATGATGCTGCACCACAGGGACTTGGAGGTGTCACTGCTGTAGATGACGCTAAAGTTACAGGGTGACCCTGAAGCTCTCCACTGGATGGACGTCCACAGGCTGGAGACTCTGTGCTCCGTCAGGGTGAAGTTACATCTCACTGACTCCGCCAGGCCAGTCTGCAAAGGAATCAAGAGACCACTGTTTAAACCTGCAGTCTGTACTGCCCAGGAACCTGTCTGAAGCAAGCTCTGGGGTCCCCTCCACTCATCCCTGGCTCCCAGCCACCGCCGGCCCCTTTGCCCTGTAGCTGGGGTGAGGGTACAGGGAAGGCCATGGCAACTGTCTTCCTAGATGCTTTCCCTCAGGAGCAGCTGGAGAGAAGGTGGCTTTTGCCTTTCACATCAGGATGAGTTGTCAGGTTGGCTGAGAGTTTGGAAGAGGATGTCTCTTCCAGAAAGAAGAAATGTTGCCATCTGCCCCATCAAAGCACAGCCTGGGAGGCCCCCAAGTAGAGTGGGAGTTGGTTCTCCACCCTTCTCTGGCCCCTCACCTGCAGCAGGCCCAGGGTGACCCACAAGGTCACTCGGGTTCCATGGCTCAGCATTGCGCTCAGTGGTTGCGATCTGGCCTTTTAACCGAGGGCGAGCGCGAGCCACTTGTTGCGCGCTCGGCGCGCCGGCGGGCGCAGCGCGCTTCCCTCGGGGCTGGCCGGCGCTGGGGCCCCCGCTGCTCCCGCTGCTGCTGCCGCCCGGGCGGGCTGCGGACGCGACAGGCGGCGGGGCAGGCGGAGCACGGCCCTTCCCACGCTGCCATGCTGACCCGCGCCGCCTCGCCCCGAGCCCCGGCCGCGGACTTCCGCAATCAAAAGGCAATTTCCTCGTCTCCCGGCAGAGGAACAATGCGCCGGGGAGGGAGGGAGCCCAGGAGCCACGCCTGAGGCTGCCCGGGGGCCGAGCGGCCAGGCCGCCCCGGCCGAGGGTCCTGCGCTGTCCGGGGCTGCAGGGCCGCGCCTCCGCATCCTCCGCACTTTCACTTTCCCCACCCTCCGGTCCTCGGCGGGATGCTGGCCACAGTTAGTCGGTGCGTGCGCCCTCTCACTTTCCAGGCCCCCACCCCCACCCTGCCTCCCCCAGCACCCAGCGCCTCCCCCCCCCCCACCTTCCTTCCTATCTTTCTCATCTGCTTTCTCCAGGGCCTCTTTTCCCAGGATTAAACTTGACCGCAGCACATTTCCCTAGGTCGCCTGCATTCTTTCCTGGAACCTTTTATTAGAGTGCTTTCGCCCTTCTCACCTCCAGGCGTTCATCCATCACAGCGCGCATCCCCTTGACACCAGCCAAAGAAAAGACCCCAGAAGAGCCTGACCTGGTCAACTTGACCTCCAGGCTTTTCTCTTTTCGCTTTCCCCTCTGGCATAGGTTTGTGGGCTCCCTAAATCTCACACGAACGGTGCCAAGAAGCAACAAAATATAATCAAGCCCAATTGTTCAACCCACAGCAAAGCAGTTTCATCCCTGGCTATCCAGAAGGGAAAACCATTTATCCATAAATTGTTCAAACAATAGAAGAAAGTAGTTTCCACTTTTTCTTGTTTTCTCCTCTCCCCTCTTCCTTTGTCTTTCCTCCTCTTCCCTCCCTTCTCCCTTTCCGTCTTTCCTCTCCTCCCTTCTAATATTGTTGATGGCCCAGCTCCCCAAAATTAAAAAAAAAATACATTGACAGCACTAACTGTAAGTCCTTTAGCAGTTGCACCTCGATGGTTATATTTCTGAAAACAAGATTTCACAAAAGCTCCCAATATCCGAAGAGCAAAAAATTGAATTGTACACAGGTCATAATAGCAAAATGATGCAACGATTTGCATTATTTTGATTTTTGAAAGGTAACATACCTACCCAAAAAAAAAGAGAAGCAATTCCACATTTTACTTTTTAGGTTGATGAGGGGATGGCATATTTCCTGCGTTTCGGATAAATTTTACAAAAAACTACTCTTGAATATTATCCATTCTATCTCCACTTTGAGGGAAAAATAGAACGAAAAAACTAAAAATATTTCTATTATTTTAGAAAATGTGCTTTTCAAAACTCTTTTAATGAAAAATAAAATTGCATCCCTTTCAGAAACTGTGTAGGCTTTTAGTCTACAGCCAGACCAAAGGTCTCAAATCTCCCTTTCAGGTTAACAAACACACGAAGAAGATAAAGCCTGTGCATTTCTGTGAAAAGAGGATTTCTCCTATTTCTCTAACCAAGTCATTTGTCTTACTCAAGAGCTTTTTTCTCTATATTTTGCCCCAAGTTCAGGACTTGCAAAGCCTGGCACACCTTTTATCTCTGCAGAGACAGCCCTCTTCTCGACAGGCTTTATTGTAATCCCCAGCTGCCTGCAGCCTATAGAGAAGTTCTTCTGCAGCTTTGCTCCTTGTACCATTACCTTTTTCTTATCTCGCTGTATTCAGAAAACAATGTGGCTACTTCAGCTGTAAAACTAGACTAATACACTAAACTCCTCACAGAGCTATTATGAGTGAACAAGATTATGTATGTTAAAGAGGCTTTGTAACCTTTAATTAGTTGTAAAACATCAGTTTGCCTAATACAATATACAATATATGGCATCAAGTTACATATTTTTCTTATCCTTTTTACATAGATCCCACTTTCCTTCTTTCTTTCTTTCTTTCTTTCTTTCTTTCTTTTCCTTCCTTCCTTCCTTCCTTCCTTCCTTCCTTCCTTCCTTCCTTCCTTCCTTCCTATCTTTCTTTTTTGGTCTTTTCCACTAGGGCTTGAAATTTTTCTCATACATTGGCTCTCAGATTTGTAATCTTCCCATTTAAATATGCTAAATACTCAATACTCTTCTGTCCTCTGTGGAAATTTCTAGTTAGTCCCAACTCCTGAGCTTTCCCAAAGGCATGCTCCATGCCACCCGTGTACTGCACTCTATCAGTTAATTTTAGAGCTAAATTTTCAATGTACTATGTACTAATCCTTCCTTATAATACAGGTAAATGTACCAAAAAAATAAATTTGAAGAGGACGGATCAAACAGAAAAGACAAATTATTCTTACAATAACACAGTTTACATGCTTCCAAATTAACAGTGACCTGCTAATAATGCCCGTTAGAACAGGAATCAGGAAAGTAAGAGTGATTGCTTTAAATAGTTATTTTAAGTTTGATCTATCAAAGAGAGACACATTTAAAATTTTTTAAAAATCTATTTTAATAATTTCTTTCTACAAATATGTATGAAGAATCAGCAGTGCATGAAGGGAAGGACTGCTAGTTCTACATATTTGTTTTCCAAATGTATGTAATTATTATTTTGTTTGTATTTATTTTCAATCTTTAGGCTGAAGTAGAGCTCAAATAATCATTGGGTCCTAAATAATTCACAAGAATTAAGGGGAGTTTAAATTTAGGCTTTTACTGATTATATTTAATTTTTTAGAATCACATATACAGTATTCATATGCAGAATTTGAAAGGATGGTAATAGATTCAAGAGAGTATGGAATGGGAAAAACTGCCAGTTATCTTTTCCATGATGACTTTATTGAAACCAGAAAAGTGCAAGCTGATTTATTTTGTCCTATGTCCTCATCCACCTTTGGAATTCCTCAAATTCTTTTGAGCCTGTTCAGTCACATAATTGCAATTCATTTGTTTTAGAAGTTACTGCATTCCAGGAATTCGGGATCAGCCATTCTACCAATTAAGGGATAACCTTTTCTCTCGGATACTAGGAAACCTTTCCCAGACTACAAGGGAAGGGTGGGCCTGGTTTATTAGAGGTCAATGGACAAACAGCTGTTTTTTAAAAATAGCAATAGCAATTAAGAACCACGTTACAGTTAACACAATTATTAGTTGTAAATTCGTGATTGAAAGAAAACATGAATCCTGTCACATTCCTGATGATCAATAGCATCACTGGTTTTCAGGGCTCCAGGAGCCACTCTTAAAACTGTACTCATTTGTTTTTTACAAATAATATTTTAAAGCAGTGATTGCCAACCTTTTTGACACCAGGACCAGCCTCCTGGAAGACAGTATTTCCCACAGAGAGGGGAGGGATGGCTGGGATGAGGATGCAGAGTTTGGGGACTTCTTGACCTAGATCTCTCCCAGGAGCACTTGCAGTTCACAAGATTTGCTTGCTCCCACATCACCTTCTGCATAAAGGCTGAGTTCCTGACAGGTCACTGACGTTTACTGTGTGTGGGGGGTGGGGAGTGGGATCGGAATTTGTGTTTTAAAAGATCCGAATGACCCAATGAAGATATATGCAGGGCAATGTTTAGAAGGATCCTGAACATGAGGCTTCTATCCTTGCAGAGCTGTGGTCCAACTCCCAGCACATGGATGCCTTCTTATTCACCTTTCTGGAAACCCTTAAACTCAGTCCTTTGAGTTTTTAATGATGCTTCATAAAGTTGGGGATGATTGAATCATTGGTCATAGGTCATTAATTCAACCTTCAACATTTTTCTTCTCCCTTTAATCTTCTGAGCACACTGATGGTTCCCTGGGTCTCCATACCATTTTGTGGGCATCTAGGGATTCCAAAAACCTTCATTTGTATAACCTCAGGTATATATGAGCAAGACTGTTTTTTACCTTTATCATTCTCATTTTAGAGCCAGCTCAAGAATCAAGGCCCAAAGGGCAAATATCTTAGCAAAAGGTACTTTTAGTGTTCTAGTTTTGTGACAGTTACAAGGGCTACAGGAGTTATGAGCCAGGAATCATGAATGAAAATCAAAGTACAGATGCTCTTCCTTCTGCTTTAGGATTATGTCTCAATAAACCATTACACATTATAAATGTTATCAATTGAGAATGCATTTAATACACCTAATCTACTGAATATCACAGCTTAGTGCTAGTACTTTGCCAGAGAATTGGTTATTTACTGCCATGATCATGAGGCTGACTGGGTGCTGTGGGTTTCTCCTGCAGTCCAGCACCACAAATGAATTCTATACTGTCCTATATATTGCTTCCTGGGAAAGGATCAAATTCAAAGTTTAAAATACAATTTCCACTGATCAGACATTGCTTTTGCATCACTGTAAAGTTGAAAAAATCATAAACAGGGCCATTTGCTTCTATATTATAATATTATAATATTATGGACCACCCCTGGGTTTCAAATCATGTATGTTAC